TATTTAACACGTTGAGCGCCACGCGTATGTTTTAGGCAATCCCGTTCAGGCCACGCGCTTCGCTTAAAAGCCCTGATATTGTACGGCCAGTGATTCGTATCGCGGTAGAAGATAGCAACAATTTGTGAAAAAGAAGACATTCCGTCGAACAAAAATGCAAGAATATCTAGAAAACGACAACATAAACTCCGAAGAAAGCCTCTGAAGTACGAAAATATTATAAATTATGTTATGATAAAAATGCAACAGAAGCTGGTAGAGTAATGGCCAGAAAAAAGACTAAAAGAGTGTTGTCACATTTTGTAATAGCTGTAATGGAGAACCGTTTTTATATTTACCGTGTTTCAATGAAACCCAATGAATCAAAATTAAGTAAATTTTAAATAAATTTTGTGTAATTTCATAAAACAGTGTAAATTTTATAGTTATATATCATGTTACTCGCTGTCAGCTAGCGGCGGTCGACGCGGCCTAAACGAAAAGGTCTAGTATCAGCCACAAATGACTGACGCTTCGTAAACGGAAAATCTAGTACACAGATGTCTGACGCGGCCTAAACGGAAATTCTAGTGTCAGCCACAGATGGCTCACGCGGCCTAAACGGAAAATCTAGTGTCAGCCGCAAATGGCTGACGTGGCGCTCAACGTGTTCATTCGCTAACAACAACTGTTCCCGAATTATGACTTCCGCAAAGATAAATAAAGGCTGTTTTCTCCTGCATACGGCGTTTTTATTGTTAGTCTTGAAAAGGCATTTTGCGTCGAATCCTCAAAAACGTTGATTCACTTTTCAAACTGTTGCCACCAAATATTATCGCCATATATTATATTTAAGGAAATTAAATAATGAAGAAGCCGCATAGCCATTATAAGTGTCTTGTTTGCAGGAAGATAATGTGTATGGTCGAACGTCGGAGTATACCTTCACTACGGAGGATATTTTTTACTATAAGGAGACTCGTACACCTTAAAACCCATAAGATCTTCAAATATGTGACTGTTGCAAGAATTAGGATAACTTACTTACTTTAAAAGCAATTACTCCCAACTTTTTACAGCTGACTACATAATATAGCTGCTTTTTGAAATAGCACGTGTGTATGCACATTTTGCGTACTCGAATATGAACTTTTTTGTTGCATAAACATTGTTTGGACAGCGTGCGAGACTTGGATGTTACTTGGAAGTTGGTGAGCCCTTCAATTTATGCTTTCATGTTGTATTTCTAAGTTCATTTGAATTGTGACTGTGTGTTTAATATGATTTAAGTGTTACTTCATCTAGTGTGACTTAGTATTTTTGATTTTGAGCGAAACTGGTAAAATAATTAACGTTTTTGTGCTCCGCGATGCAAAGCCTAATTAGGCTTTAATAAGTGCAACATCATTTCCGAGCTGTAATTTGTTCTTTTTGGTCATCCTGATTCTAAGTTGAGAGTCCGTCTCACGCGCTATAATTGCTTTTTTACGAAGACGATACGGAAATGATAAAGGATACGCACCTTAAGGATCTGAACTTACCTGGAAAAAGAAATTGCAAATTATTCGGCGAATTTCGTCGACGGCAAACCGAATAGTGAGCAACTAGCTGTACTAAACAATCTGAGGCAACAGTATCATAAAACCCTTAATGATACTTATAACACTCCCGAAAGCTTTGTAAAACAAGTCGAAAAAATAGCCATTTCACAAAACACCAAAACCAAAGATGAATGGAAATAGGTTCCCAGAAAACGCACGCGAAATAACAGTAACTCCTCGTTGAAGAGGATTTACCCCCCTTAAAAACTCAATCAAAATTTGACTCTCTTCCTAACGAAGAAAACTTAGATAATATGGAACAAGACACTGAAACTAATACTTCTGCGAGTTACACCACGACTACTGCATCACAGGATTTAAACAACCACGTAAATACGCTGGCAAAATTCCACCATTTATTATCACAGATCCTAAAATAAATTGGAAAGAATTACGTAAAGAAATAAAAGAAGATTTAGGCATCGAAAAAGTTGAAGGAAAGATAGAAGGCGAAAAGTTCAGGATAGGCTTGATTCTCGAAAGATTTCCTATCACACATATTTACTGAACTCTGACAAAGTGGTTAGAAGCATAATAAAAGGGTTATCAAATGACATAGACATAAAAGAAATTGAAGATCTTAAATCTCAAAACATTCCTGTACTAAAATGCAAACTAATACAGCGCATAGCTGTTAACCTACCCTTTTTTTTATGTTGAAACTCCACGCACTGAAGCTGGAAAATTAATTAATCACGTGCGCCTAATTACTGATATTAGAGTAAAAGTGGTTTCGTACAAAAGCAGGCCCGGACCGACGCAGTGTTTCAACTACCAACGGTATGGGCATACTCAACGTGCATATCGCTTCGTGAACATAGTTCATTTCTTTGGGCTCCTGGGAAGACTTCCTATCCCAATATAATATGTATATAGCTTTCCGAACATTGATGAGCATAAAGTGAAGTTTTGAACAACATAAGGTAAAAGAGGAAAGAATTCTGAGAAATCTGTAGCAGCAGATAGCAATTTTGTAGAAAGTCCGATGAGATGCAGTAACCAGTATATGAGACATGTAGATTGTTGAAGCGAAATATATTCGATAGCTACTCTGTGATGAGATGTACAGTTTCATCGTAGGAGTGCAGCAGCTGAGCGGTGTTCGATAGCCAGAGGTAGATGTAGCTTTGCCTGGATCTGGATCGTAAATTTAAAGTCTGGCCTGTACTACAAAGAGTAATCACCAGTAGATATCTTGGCCCTTGGGCTCTTACATTATTATTTTTTTTTTAATTCAATCAAAGGCACACTGTCTTGTGTGCCGCGTCCTGGGGACGAAAAAACTAAGAAACACAGGTGGCAAGTCAGAAAAATCATTCCTTCGTGAAAGTTCAAGCATTTAAACAAAGATGCTGAAATTAGTCCATTTAACCCATTAGCCGCTGGTGTTGCGTTGACGCAACGGTCAAAATAAATGGGTATATAAATATAAATACCTAAGATATTTTATACTAGCAGATGATTTTGTGTAGGGAATATTATGAAGATTATTTCTGTAAAAAAATATTTGCCTTCAACAATAATTTTGTTTATAATAATTAATCTCATACTTTAAGCAAAATTTTCGACCGGGTATTTTTGCTGAAAATATTTAACGAAAGAATTGCCATTTTTATGAATGATCTATTTTTAGTCAAGGTCACCGTTTATCAGAACATTACATCAGTCAGATGTTTATATTTGTGTTGGGAAGGAAGGGAAAACAGGTGTTGCGCTGACGCAACGTCAGCAGGAAACGGGTAGCCAGTCTCCTTTTTCACTCATTCCTTTCGATGTTCTGGTTCATGTTCTGGTTATTTAAAAATGCCTAGAACGACGTATCTTACATCAGAAGAAGCCCTTAAAAGATTTTTTTATGAAGAAACAGATGATGATAATGTTAATAATGACCAGAATGAAACTGATATTGTTTTTGTTTCCCCAGAAACTGCAGAAGCTAGTGACAAAGAAGAAAGGAATGGCAATGCTTTAAATAATGATAATGATATTTTTTCCAAATGATACTGCTGGGGAAGTTGAAATTCGCGTAAGAAGTAAGTTTCAGCCTTCTAAAAGCAGTTATAGTCATACTAAAAAGTTTAAAAAGAAGAAAACTGAAATCTTGAAGTGGATAAGAAAGAAACTGTTAATTATGTCTCAGGAAAAACGTGAAGAAAGAGATAGAAGAGAAATTATAAAAGACAAAATACAAGGTAAAACTAGTGTGCAGATTTTCGATTTTCTTTTTTAGACATTTACTCTTTTCTCGTTGAACAGACAAATATATACGTTCAGAAAAAAAAAAAAAAAAGAATTTATGCATCTGAAACCTATATGAGAAGATTTATTGGAATATAACAGAATATTATTCTTTACCTATACTTAGTGCTTTCTACGCAGTTATTTCATTATTATTTGCTAGTGCATAATGTTAGATTTGCACGAGAATAGATTTTTTTGAATTTCATTTTACCTAGACTTGTTCATAGAACAGGAAATCTAGTAATACCTATTTTAATTTATGTATGATACATTTGTACAAATACATATTTTTTTGTTATTTTTTTATTAGTGCAAAGGGGCAATTTGCCCTGAAGAACTGTTAATTTTGTTTTCGCATTTTGCGTTGGTTCACTATAAAAGTCGGTTCACTTTTCAAATTGTTGCCACCAAATAATATCATCCTGCGTCATATTTAAAGTAATGAAATAATGAAGAATTTCCATAAATGTATGTATGTTTCTGGCATTTTGATAAAACAGCGGTACCCAGAGCCATCCAATTTTGAATAACGTAATCTTCTACCTAATATGGTCATTTTTAAGCCCAAATTTGGAATTTGAAATTTGTTTCATTATCGATTTCATATTTTGTAACGCTTTAACGAATTTTTGGTTAACAAACAAAGCGAGCAATAGCAACACTGTACGGGGAAAGAAAAAAATAGATATTTCCAGCGCGCGAAACTGTGTATCGGAAATTCTAAAGCTTTGCTCATTTTTAAAATTATTTTGCGATATTGCTGTTGAATTGAATTTTATGGTTTAAAGGCAATGAGCATAATATTAAATAAATAAAGGTAACACACAAAACGTTAAAGAAGCGCCCCTTTGGGTGTAATGTAAAATCTGAAAACTTTCAGATTTTTATTGTCTTACAATTTTTTAACACAAATCTGAAGTATTAGACTAGAATGTGAAGAAATATTTACAAATAAAATGCCTAGGATTTATATGAATAATCTCAGAATTAAATTATTATAAAGTGAAAAAGTATTCTTAGTTGAAAATATTTTTTAAAAAAGCGTTTACTTGTAAAAAAAATAACGTGTCATATTATATTCAAATTTTGGGAAAATCTGAAAATATAAAATGAAACAAATTTGACTAATGTGAACCATATTTTCTAATATGAATTTGAATGAGGAAGTATACAGTTATATAATTTTTTTAAAAAAACTTTATTGAAATTTAGTTGATACTGATAATACATAATAAATCAGTGATTAATTACTCTAAAAAAAAAAGAGCTTAAATTCATCTTAAGTTTGCTTATAATAAGCTAAACAAAGCTGATTGTGCCATCCATTGAAACTGTCTTCTTTTTTGTCTAAAAATAACTTATTAAGAAAATTGCTAATTTCTGATTTAAAATTTTCAAATTTTAAAAACCTGTCTGCTGTATTTACCTTTTGAGTAATAAGGATTTTGGAGAATCTGTGTAATACATTCTTCATAGAAATGACATATATAGCTCATCCATTAGTATTGCGTTTTTTAAGAATAAATTTTAAAATTAAAAAATTCAATTTTATACAGACATCTACCAGTCTTATTCACAACGCACTTGCCCGTTAATTAATTTTTTTTTTTTTTTTTTTTTTTTTTTTTTTTTTTTTTTTTTATACTATGGCGACAAATAAATTCTTGTATATTGATTTAGCAAATGAATCGAACTCTCTTTCCGGACATTATAATTCAAATTCAAAAATTTTCTATTGAGAATAATAATGTCACGATACCAAATCAGAAGAATAAGTTGGATCAGGTATATTATTTTTTTTTTTTTTTTTTTTTTTTTTTTTTCAAAGTGGGTGTTGATTAGCCTTTCTCATCTCTCTGTCTTTTTTCATAGCTTTTTATGGATGGTTTTATTTGCAGGAAGTAGCTTATGCTAACAAAAATCTTTCCTAGTTCCACCAAAGATAGCTTTATCTTCTTTAGATGAAAGCCTTATTTATACACACGTGGTGTATTATTACATGTGGTGTTACACGTGGTGTATTGGGTTTACCAACTCATTTTATTCTACCTTTTATATTCTTATAAGGGATTTATTTTTCGTTACTGGTTATTATTCGGATAAAAAATAGGCTTTTTGCCTATCCAGAGAGATGAGTCCAAGGGCGAATTTTCACATTCATATCCGATAATTTACGTAGAACCCAGTCCAGAAACTTTGTTCTTTTTAAAACTGGGTAAGAGGGTAGCTTTTAAGTGCTATAGGACCGTTAAATGGAACCACTAAAACTACTAATTAAACTGGGATTTTCTTCTATCAGTAATAAAACGCATTACTATGGAAAGGCTGAATATGAAAATACATTTGTTGCTTACTTTAAAAATAATAATATTCATATTTCGATACATTCTCCAATTCCTTGTTGATAGCGTTCTTGACAGGGCCTTCCAAGGCTCGGGAAACTCCTCGATTAAAGAATCGGACAACTAAATTGGTGAACCGAGAAGCGATTGCATTCAGAGGACCCAGACCATCAAACTTAACTTGCACTCCATCCAGTCTGGTGATTGTAAATTTCTCGACAGTGGCTTTGGGTGCAGACTCGTCAAGGACATCGTGTCTTTGCCTGGTGTAAAAGACATCGGCATCCAACCTCCTAATGAACATATCAATGAATCCTCGGAACACTGGAACACCAGCATCGGTTTCCCAATAGTAACGTCCGGTTAGGTTCCTTAGCCCCACAGGAACAAGGAAGCTGAATGTGGAGTCAGAGCAACGCACAAGTGCCGGACCGCTCCTTTTGATGGATGCGAGGTTTACCAGTGTACCGTTGAAAAGCCGGAATCTACCTACTCTTTCTGGCAGGAAAGCTGGCTCCGGAAGTTTTGGGCGAACTTCATCTAATACTTTGTCTATATATTGGTCTGTCTTTTTTCTGGCAGCTTTACTACATCCTTTTTCCTCTACTTCTTCTGGATTCGTCTCAGCGCCGGAAGATTCTGCGAAATTAAATATGTTTAAATAAGTGATAAGTCTCATGCACATACTACGTAACAAGTTTTTGAATTGTTTACGAAAACAACAGCATGATTCCTTGATGCATTAGTTGGATTAAGAAAGTGATGTTCGGTGGAAGGAGTAGAATCTTTACATTTGGATGCAATGTTATGAGGGCTTCAGCGCCGTGTCCTAGAGCATTATTGAGAATTAGGAGAATTGTAAAGCTCCGATTTGGATGCTCTAAGCAATGTTTGACTTCTTTAATGAATAATTTGTCAAACCAGACATTAAACAAGGCTATCGCCAGAGTCATAACTAGGGTTTTCAGCGCCCCGGAACAACGGAAGATTTCGCGCTCCCTCCTATTTGCCAAGAATGAAAAACATTTAATTCTAAAATTTAGTAACATCAGTTTGGCGTCCCCTGGATATGGCATTCAAGGACAGATGCCCCCTTCTAGCTACTCCCCTGGCTATCACAATGCGGCCGAAGCTCTACACTGTAGTGTACCGCATATAATTGCAATTCTCGCGGACACGGTTTAAATGGAGACACTTATTAAAGCGTGTACGTGCAAAATTGCGTTTAGCAAGGCATTGAAAATCGTGTTTACATTTTTCGGGTAAAATAATAACTAAAAACTAGTTCAGTTTAATCCTAAAATAATAATATTAAAATTAAATCTATTTACGCAGTTTAGAAATTTATTTTTTAATTTTATATAAAATTATTTTTATATTTACGCTTTTGATGAAATTTAATATCTTACAAACAACGATTTTATCTGTGTTTGTTTCATATATTGTTCAACAACAGTTTTTCAATCGCAGTCTCAATTTTGTAAAATTGCTGGTAGCTTTTCTGATCTGCATCTTTCAGTTCAAGAGATTTTCTTAGACCGTGCAGTGCATTTCGAAATTCTATTGATGTTGACATATCGTCATTTTCCCACTGCAGTTTCTGTAGTGCTTTTAACACTTTCATGGTCAGTTTTTACGCTGGTTGTCTCAATATTTTTGCGAATTGACTCTTATGAAAATAAATCTTCGTAACTTAACTCACTGAGGCTTCAAACATTACTATAGCTTGCAGTTCCTCCAAGACCTCTTTTACATAAAAGGTACATTTTCGAAAACAGATTTTTTTTAACTTATTTTAAGAGATTAACCCATGCATTGATTGTAATATGCACGGCCTTTAGCAGAGCTATGGACTTACATATCTGTTTTGAAGTGCTTGTATTCACAAAATTCAATTCCGTTCATTCTTTTCTGAACACTTGTTTCTTTAACGACATTTAAAAGCTTTTATAATACCTTCGTCAAAAGGCTGAATTTTAGAAGTTGAATTTTCAGGAAGCGAGACCAGTGTTTTCCAGAAATAGATAGATGTGTGTACCGTGCGCACCAATCTAATTAGTAATGTTATTTTATATTTTTCATTTCGCTGTTTCATTTCAAAAGAAAATCAGTAAAAATAAAACTTGACATCCATGTGTTCTTGCTGCTGTTGTAAAGTTTGTAAATTCTTGACTCTTTTCAAACATGGAGGTTTGAAAGGAATCAAGGAGGAGGGATCATGGTTTTAGCTCCAAGAATCGGGTTGTCCGGAAAATAATGCAGGTTTTTGAAATTGTTTATCTTTCCTCTACATTTTTAGCAACAAAAATATTTTGAATTATATTGGTTTATATATCATTTTCAAGCTCTATTTTCTCTCTATATTTCTATAACAATCATTTTGTTCCAAAATTGTTTTAAAAATATTTACTAGGTGTTTTTGATTAGATATCAAAACGGGATTTTCGGTAAATTTACTTTTATGAGTACAAGCTAGGCCACAGCGCAGCACAAAAGGCTCGAAATGTCAACAAAGTATGGGCTGAGAAAAGTGTTAATGAATCTACAGTTCAACGGTGGTACTAAAAGTTTCGCCGTGGAGAATTTGACCTGGAAGATCAAGAGCGTTGTGGACGCTCTTCAGTTGTTGATGACGACGATTTGAAGACTTTAGTTGAAACAAACCCTAGCACAACTGTTCGAGAGCTTGCGGAGGAGCTTGGCGTAAGCAAAATAACTTTTCTGATCACTTGGAATCGTATAGGAAAGTCAAAAAAGCTCGATAAGTGGGTGTCTCACGAATTGAGGGGGAAAAAAAAAAAAATCGCCGTTTTGAAGTGTCGTCTGCTCTTTTTCTCCGCAATAAAAACGACCCTTTTCTTGATCAAATTTTTACGTGCGATGAAAAGTGGATTCTCTCTATCAACCGACAATATTTCGGCTCAGTGGTTCGACCGCAGTCAGACACCACAACACTTTCCAAAGCCAAATTCGCACCAAAAGAAAATTATGGTGACTGTTTGGTAGTCTACGGCCGTTCTCATCCACCGTAGCTTCCTAAATGTGGGCGAAACCATTACGGCAGATATGTACTGTCAGAAAATCGATGAAATTCACCAAAAAATGCAACGCATGTGTCCGGCGTTGGTCAACAGAAAGGGACCAGTTCTTCTCCACGACAATGCTCGGCCGCTCGTCGTGCAACTGACCCTACAGAAAATTGAACGAATTGGGATACGAGACTCTCCCTCTTCCCCCATATTCGTTTGACCTCTCCGCCGACCGATTATCCCTTTTTCAAACATCTGGATAACGCTCTACAGAAGAAATGCTTCAGAAATGAAGACGAGGCCAAAAACCTCTTGAAGAACTTTATCGCCTCCAGAACTCCAGAATTTATTCTACCGGTATAAATAAACTTATATCTCGTTGGCAAAAATGCATTGATTCGGCTGGTTCGTATTTTGATTAATAAAATCGTTTCTGAGTTCAGTTATGATATTTTAAAGATATAGGTTAAAAACCTGCATTATTTTCCGGACAACCTAATATGTAGAGGTGGGGTTTCAATGTGATCGGTAAATTATTCCAGGGATATAACAAATTTCACATATACAACAATTATTATGACGAAGAACACGATGCAATATTATATTAACATATCTGATACACATTTAAGAGTGGCGCTATTGGATTTTGTTGACGCTTCAAGATACGCTTCAAGATACATGGTGAGTTACAGGAGTTCACTGAACCTTTTTTGCGCGATGATAGCGCCATCTATCTACTAATCTACAAAAGGCAAAACAAAGAAATTTTCTGTTTTTGTAATAACCAGTGTTGTCTTCTTAATTATTGGATCTATACTTCATATTATTAATAACACAATAACTCATTCCTTCCGTTTCTTAAACTAGCTGTTGTTTTAAATATCACTGTATGTTTCGGTAATGTTTTGTAACACAGTTTTAATTAACGCCTCCCTTCTTTCTGAGCTTCAGATATAGTCTCGATAGCTTCCAACTCTTGTTAGTTTGAAAATACCGTCTCCCCTCCAACATCGTCTCGCTTTTCTTTATTGTCCTCTTTATTGTTTCTTTATTGTCTTAATTTGTCTGGCGAACAGGCTGGCTGAATGACTCGTTTTCGCGCTTTTTCCTGCATGTGACATAAATGCTAGTTTCCTTCAGAAAGTTCTTTGCTAGCGCATCCCTTCCCTTAGGTAGAATAAGCCTTTGTGTGCTTTGCTGTATTCAGATAACCTAACCTTCTCGATTCGTTAGATCTTAAAATTTCTTTGATGGTAATTTAACTTTTTAATCCAAAGGGGCTTTGTCCCTGAAGGATTATTGTTTTCGTTTCGCGATTTTGCGTTGAATCAATAAAAATGTCCGTTTCACTTTTCAAACTGTTGCCACCAAATGTTAGAGTCCTGCATAATTTTTTGAAGAAATTACATAATGAAAAATCTGCATAAATGTATGTGTATTTCTCGCATTGTTATAAAACATCGGTACCTAGAGCCATCGAATTTTGAATGACGTAATCCTACTGCGAATATGGGCATGTGGAAGCCCAAATTTGAAATTTGGAATTTGTTTTATTATCGATTTCATATTTTGTAAAAATTTAACGAATTTTTGAGTAACAAACTCAACGATTTGAAAGCGAGAAATAGCAACAATCTACGGGAGGGGGGGATTTTTTTTTATCCCCAGCGCGCGGAACTGTGTATCGGAAATTCTAAAGATAGGCTCATTTTTAAAATTATTTTGCGACATTGCTATTGAACTGAAATTTATGGTTAAAGTGCGAAGAACATGACATTTAATAAATAAAAGTAACATACAAAATGTTAAAAAAATGCCACTTTGGATGTGATTTAAAATCTGAAACCTTTCAGATTTATTATTATTATTTGTTTGTTTGTTTGTTAGGTGCGTAAAATAGGATCATGTTATTTACAATGTGCAGTTGTAAGGAAAAAGGGTAATATCCGTATCGAGCTGTGTTGTAACCGAGAAACTCTGAATAATGCGCAGCTAGTGCCGTACGTTTCGTTACGAAAATTGCAATGATAAATGCTCGGAATTAGATCGTGTGTTCAAAGGTTTTTATATACTTTTACCATGTCATTAACATATACTCCTGTACTATACGGTATGGAATACGAAAGCATTCTAAAAAGTATTTCCAAATTACTAATACGTACAGAGGCTGTTCGCAGATTTTTTAGACGATTTTCATTGTAATTACAGAAATATTTTACCTAAAATTTTTATGTTTTAAATGTTCTATTTAATAACGCTCATTCTTTACTATCTGTATACATCGTAATCTTCAAGACAATAAAGCCTTCTGCAGTATCGGAAGAGGTATTTTATCCCGTTGCTCTCGAACAACTTTCCAAAGTCTAAGGAAGTTGTATGTCGACGTTAAAACAACCCGCTTCTTAAATGTTCCAAATCGCAAAAACACATTGATGATAGATCAGGAGAATTTAGCAGGGATATAATTGAAGGTTATGGCCTTGATAACCCGTTTCTTGTTCCACTTTTTCCAGGAAATTTGTAGCAGAATTTTAAGTGTGGCTGCTTACTTTATCTTGGTGCAGTTCTACTGAATGATCATACTGTGTGTAAAGAAAAGGTAATTCATAATTGAAAATTGGGTATGAAATGTAGTTTTCATAATATGTAGAGTTGATCTTAACATTTTTCTCCACTTTGTCTTTTTAATTTGCCGTTATATGAAAAACCAGCAGCAGTCATAAATCCCTTAGAAAAACTTCCTTTAGATTCCTTGAACGATGTTTTAACACTTTCTCTTCTCTTTGATGGTAATAAATGGATCTCTTTTTATGGCATTCATTTAAGAACACCCAAAATTCGTCTATGCTGACAATATTTTCCCATTTTTATTCGGATAAATGTTTCCCATAAAGAATTCTGCAGCGTGTTCTGCGTTTGGTGGTATGTCGAGAAGAAAGACAATGCACATTATATTTTCCCCCTTTTTAAGATTCAAATCAACAATGAACATTAATCATTTTTTACAGATAACACTGAGCATTTTAACCTCTTCGTCGTCGGTAACGAGTCTAGCGCGTTCAAGTGAATCTTCCGCAGGGCGGCCATGACGCGCCTCAAACGTTCTTCTACATTTTAAAACTTTTAAACGTTTAAAACGCTTTGTAAATGTTTACTTGTTTGAGTTTTTATTTTTGTTTGTTCTAATACCTCCTAGAGGGTAGCACTAATCAGCCATTCTATTTCTAATTGAATTTAAACCGTGTTTTATGAATATTCGCGTCATTTTACATAAGATACAAGACAGTGAGAGATGGCTTCGACGTCTACTCAGCAGAAGAAGAGAAAAAATGAGGTTGTGAATTAGAAAGACAAGAAGGATATACGTTTGATGAGTACAGTCCATAATAATTCGATGATTGATGTTGGAACACGGAAAAGAATTGTAAAAAAACCAATAATTGTGAAAGATTACAACAAAATGGGAGGAGTGGACCTCCTGGATCAGATGTTATCAAATTATCCTGCTGTTAGAAATAAGCAGAGATATTATTATTTTCCCAGTATGCTTTATTTCCTTATAATTTTACTTAATATTCATTGACATTCATCCACTACGAAAGTCATATATGGAAAGCTAAGATGTACAGAAAAAAACAACATTACACGCTACGAAAAATAGACGGCTGCTGGGGGGGGGGGAATTTTCGCGGACAGGAGAAATATGAATAATGATTTTGCAACGAATAATTACAACGACAAGCGGAATAATGATTTTGCAACTGTCCTTTCACCTGGCAGATTTTCTTTTAACATTAAAGATCTTACTTTTGTAACATTTGAAACATTCCGTTTTATCCTTGGATACGTATTTGGAACAATTTTTCCACTTGAAGCTAAATTTTGACTTTTTTTTTTTTCGTTTGTTATTGACAATATTAATCGTAGCTTTAGATATCGACAACCACGGCTTTCGCAATGTTTTTTAATATCTAGATACGAATAACTTTTACCGGAAAGAATACAAACGTAGTTTTTCTTTAAAAGCAACATTTTGCATGAAAAGAAAACTGTCAAGTAGCAGACGATAATTTATACTTTCGGAAAATATATTTGCAATTTAAAAAAAATTCCGAGAAGATGGTTGGTTTTCTTTTTTTTTTTTTTTTTTACAGGAAAGCAAAACTTTCTAAAAGTTTTTTGCAAAAAGGCGTTTTAGTATACTTACCAAAAGCATCTGCATAGGTTTTATGATCATCTTCGAACTCGGCTTCTAGTAACTCATTGTACAGCAGCTCGTCATCTAGCTTATGTCCGCGTTTTGAATGCTTTTTAGAGGCACAGCTCGCAATACCTAAAACCGCAGCTGCAATGACGACTACCAGCCCAAATTTTAGTAGAAAACGCATTCTGTTTGCTGTTGGTCGATACCAATATTTCTCTCTGACCTGAAACAAATTTAGTTAAGATTATATTGGTAATAAATTTTCCTAAGCGTACAAAACAACCACCAATAATCAATTTCTGGCTTAACGCGATAAATTATTTTCAGAAATTGTTCTATTATTTCTTTGTAAAACGTGGCACATGTTGTTTTCGGTTCGAAAAATTTCTTATGTCCGTCCCACTGGAAAAAAAAAAAGTCACCAAAGCTTGTTGAACTAAATTACATATTAGCATTAATGCTCCAAATTCCAGTTAACTTATCAAAAGACACAAGAAACGCTATTTGGAGTTCGAACTATTTGGAAAGAAGCGTGCATTGTGGATTATTTTGGCATTAAACCCAATTCCAAACTCCCCATCTACTCCCCACATTAATAATGCTATAGGTAAAGACAAAAAGACATCGTTATCAGACTTTTGCTTTTCTTGGTAAAAAATTCTGCTTTCTAACTACGTAGAAACTGCAAAATATCTTTTACCATTATTCACCCTTTATTTACTATGCTTCTGTTATATTGTACACCACATCAGATAATGATTTCGAAAGATTGCAATCCCTATTAAAAATTAACTATTTGATTATGTCTTGCATAATTCACTTCCTCCAGGAACAGCTTTTAGATATTTAATTCCTAACCATACAAACCCTATATATATATATATATATATATATATATATTTTCCATGGGATTTGGCCTATTGTGACGAAAGATGGCAGTAATGAAATAAAATAAAAAGAGCGAAAAGATTGTCAAAACGGCGATGACGTAAGCACGAAGTGAAATGTAAACAAACAGATAACTGATATGATTTTTATGAGTATATACAATAAGTAATTAATAAAATATTGAGTACTAATAACGTCAATATTTACATATATCTCGGAGATAGATGAGATGATGTGTACATGGACTACATGAAATACAAATATGTACAAATATGGATTTAAAAACATACATGAAGACAATGAATTACAGGTAAACATTTTCAAATGTTAAAAATGGTTAAGGTATTTGAAGGTGAATATTCAATGGAAAATATATACATGTTATACAAGTGAAATGAAGTGTTTGTCATAAAAGTAAAATTGCTGAGTGGCAAAAAATGACTGTTTTTTCAATCATAGAAAATATATATAAACACTGACTTATGAGAAGAGAAACCAAGAGACTTTTATGACTGCGAACTTGGTCGAACGAGACTACGAACTTAAGAGACTATTTTTAATAGTCTCTTAAATTCATTAGGAAATAATCCTGTAATCATTTTTAGGCATAAACATATGATGTTTATCCTAAGTCTCTATTCAAAGTATTTTACATAAAGTATTATGAGTTCTCATAAACTCGAAAAGGCTCCTTTTAGAGCCATATAATTTTCATGAAAGAAATGCCATAATTGCTGAAAAGTTAGAACTTGGCAACATCGCGTGGTCACCTATATGTTGCCCAAGCTCTAGCCAATGGCAAGCGTTATCTTGTGTTTTTTGCCACGATGAATTTCATGGGCTTGTTCTGTCGAGGTCAGACATGTGAGATTAGTGAAAACAACAGGATTTAAGAGAGAAATAGTTTTGAGTTTTATTTCTGTTACGGTTAAAGGGAACGAAACACAAATGTGGAAATTAGCACCTCTGAATTTTTGCAATTTATTTTGAAATACAGTCTTCTTTCTGAACGCGGTATATTGTAATAATACTAGTGCGAATTTTCCTCACAGTTACTAATTAAACTTTAAAAATTAGTTTTAAGTTTTTGTGTTTTCAACAAGAAATTTTACACATATACGTATTATAGCATCAGTTTAAAAAATATATGTTAAAAATTATAATCTATTTTAAATTAAAAAATTTTAAAAAAAAATTAATTATTTTAATTAAAAATTTAAAATGCTCCTTGCGCGCTAATATTTCAATATTTTTTCCTAATTTTTCCCTTAAATAAGTTATAAAGGCTTGAAAAAAGATTTTTTGTATCCGTTATTTTTTGTATCCGTTTGATTTTTTGTATCCGTTAAATATGATGGATCAGAAATTTTTAAAAAGGATTTTTGTGAACTTAAACCCAGTTTTCGGAAAAATGTCACCTTTTGTTATCACACCTTTAAACTTCTTAATAACCTCATATCCAAAAATGCATACACAGATCTACTGTAACATATATAGCAAGAAATTTTCTTCTAAATATCATTTAGTAAAAATGAGACGCATGGAGCATTTTCAAGACATACGAACTGCGAAAAAATTCGTTTTGAGAAAATCGAATTTAAAGTTTTTCTTCAAACTTACCTTTAATACATGGTCATGAGAAACAGCAAATTAACTTATGTGAGTGAATATGTAACACTAGATAACATGTGACTTATGTGAACATGTGACATGTGACTTATGAACATGTGAGATGTGACTTATGTGAACGAATATGTAAACACTAGATAACATTTTCGTACCATTTAACTAATTTTTAATCAATTAATATTAAATATGAGAAAAATAAACATATCGCAAATTGGTATGTCATTCGAAGTTAGAGGTAAAAACAATTTATGCATTATATCCAATGAAACTTTTAAAATTCAATCGCATAATATGTTTTGCCTTCATTTGTTACATTTACATTATCTTTTATTGCTTTACAATTTTTTTACTATTTCTGATTTTTTTCCAAGCAGGTAAACTTCTCCTTTTGCTTTGATTCAAGCGACGTTGATCACGCTTTTTTGCGACGAGTAGGGAAAAGGAGTTTCCACCTGTTCTACGCGTATAGCATTCACATAACCAAAGTTAAATTCATTAATAATTGTCAATACTGACATTTCTAGCCTTTGTTTTAAAAATAACACTTCTTTGAGCAAATATATAAATTATTACACCAGTAAATAAATGTTGAAATACATTTTTTTACATTTTCTCGAAAAGTTAAGGGCACAATTATTAGTTGTTCACACATTTTAAATGCTTGTAACTTCTTTAAAAATTAAAAAAATTGAAATCGTTTTTTTTGCATACGATGTAGTTACGTATATGGAATATTACAAGAGTAAAAACGCAAATTCAATATTTAAGTTGATTTTTAGCTATTTTAAGTTATATGTTAAGTCCACCGTTCTCTTAAGATGTCAGTTTTTCTAAATTAAAATTGATTAAGACTTACAAGTGAAGCCCTTTGAAGAAATCTTAATGTACTATCTGCCGCGCAGCAACACCACTAATGAATATATTTCTGTAATGTCTTCGCCGATTTTCATGCAAAAACAAGCAGAATAGAATTTTATAATATCCAAACTTATATTTGACTTGTTTCAAGTCAAATATAAATTCAGATATTTTTATTTGTCCAAAGAGCTAATTTGCCCTGAAGAACTATTAATTTCGTTTTGGCATTTTGCTTTAGTTCGCTATAAATGTCGGTTCACTTTTCAGATTGTTGCCACCAAATGTTATCGCCCTGCGTTATATTTAAAGAAATTAAATAATGAAAAATCCCCATAAAAGTATGTATGTTTCTCACATTAAGGATAAAACAACGGTACCTAGAGCCATCCAATTTTCAATAACGTAATCTTCTACCGAATATGTTCATCTGGAAGCTCAAATTTGGAATTTGAAATTTGTTTTATGATCAATTTCATATTTTGTAACACTTTAATGAATTTTTGATTAACAAACCCAACGATTTCAAAGTGGAAATGGCAACACTGTACAAAAAAAAAAAAAAAAAAAAAAAAAAAAAACTTTTTATCTCCAGCGCGCGAGACTCTGTATCGGAAATTCTAAAACTTTTCGATATTGCTGCTGAATTGAATTTTATGGCTTAAGTGCAAAGAACATAATATTTAATAAATAAAGGTAACACACAAAACGTTAAAGAAACGCCCGTTTGCGCGTAATGTAGAATCTGAAAGCTTTCAGGTTTTTTAATCCAGAGGGGCTTTGTTCCTGAGGGACTATTGTTTTCGTTCTTCGATTTTGCGTCGAATCACTCTGAAAGTCTGTTTCAATTTTCAAACTGTTGCCACCAAATATTAGAGTCCTGCATTATATTTGAAGAAATTAAATAATGAAAAATGTGCACAAATGTATGTAGTATATTTCTCGCATTGTGATAAAATAGAGCTATCGAATTTTGAATGACATAATCCTACTGCGAATATGGGCATGTGGAAGCCCAAATTTGAAATTTGGAATTTGTTTTATGATCGATTTCACATTTTATATAACTTTAAAGAATTTTTGGTTAACAAACTGAAGGATTTCAAAGCGAGCAGTGTCAACGTTGTACAGAAAAAAACATTTTATCTTTTTTTTTAATAAAAAACATTTTTATTAGACTGTGTATCGGCAATTCTAAAGATATGCTCAATTTAAAATTATTTTGCGGTATTGCTGTTGAACTGAATTTTATGGTTTAAGTGCGAAGAACATGACATTTAATTAATAAAAGTAACACACAAAATATTAAAAAATCTCCCCTTTGAACGTAATTTAAAATCTAAAACCTTTCTGATTTTTAATTTTTTTTTAAATTTTTGTTTACTATTTTTTTATTTTCCTGTTTTATTTTAATATTCTGTTTTAATTTTTATTAATTATATAATTATTTTTATTAATTTATTATTATCCATTTTAATTTTGTTTAATTTTCTGTTTTAATAATTATTTCTTTTTTGAGTAATTTGGGATAATTACATCACTCTAATACATTGGACATTTTCGAACTCCTCTGTTGTACACTGAGAGGGATAGCAAACTCAGGGATCACCCCTGAATTTCTAACAAAATCTCTGGTTACGCTACTATTCTCGATGCTTATTCCAACACACTTATAGAAAGCGTTACACAAATTTGCAAGCAGCTGAAGGAGACGAGTTTTGATGTTAGATGGTCAAAAACGTAATAGCATCAAAAACGTTTAACACTTACAACTTGTAGCTTTCTACGCAAATTCTTTGTCACCTTGTACAATTGGCAGTTTAAAAAAAGAGAGATAGATAATAAATATGTTACTTACCCAAACCTGATAAGAGTAAACCAGAGATATACTAGAGCCTGATATCTGATAGAGATTTTCTGTATTACTTTATATAATATTCTAACGGAAATGTTTGTTAATTTTGGGCTCAGTTATAGCGGAAAATGATTTTCGTATTTTCTGCTTAATTTTTTATCTAGGTTATGGCTTCGAAAAACGAACACCCTTTTGGATCAGATATGAGGTCGGAAGTAAGAGTGTTACGAATTTCTTCCTTTGCGTTTTATGCAAGCCAGGATATTATTAGAAAACGCGTTCACTCTTTCTTAATATTTCCTATTTTTCTCCTATTTACTTACTTAGATATTTAATTCGTGTTAACCTAAAACTACACAGAACAAGGGAAAAAAATCCGAAAGCTTTCAGATTTTATATTACGCTTTTTTCAACATTTGGTGTGTTACCTTATTTAATAAATATTATGTTCTTCGCACTTAACCCTTTGACGCGCGCGATATTATTTTTATAATTTTTTTAACTAAAAATTCTAGAAATTGAATATTATGATCCTAGAACAAATAATATATGAATTTAAAAAAATCTACTCTTGCCCATTGTTTTGTGGGTGGTGATCGCACTGTGAAACCACCGCGCGTCTAGGACTTTGAAACTTACCTAGGTAGTAGGAAAAAAAAACTTAACCTTTTCCCGTGTTCCAATAAATGTGGAAATTTACGAATTAATAAAAAAATGCATGTAGGAATTGCATAATATATATATTTTTTACATTATGTTACAAACTAAATCGTCAGAAAAAATTTAAAAATAAACATTTATGTAATTTTTCTTTAGCAGTGAAAGTATAAGTACCTACATAATAAGAACGTTTGGCTACATGGATTAAAAAACTCAGTAAAATAAGGGTAAAAAAAAAGACTCAGTGTTTTTTTTTTTTTTTTTTTTAATTTCAAAGAACAAATATTTTTTGTGACACTGTTCAAAGCATGTTTTGTCTTTTTGGTACATGCATAGACCCACATTGCACGTTTCGCACATGTATCTTCTTCTATGATGTTTCTTCCTTGTGCTACACAAAATGTACACTGATTGGATCTAAATTTCACTGGTATATGCCCAGAGTTATTTAGTTTCTTTTCATCTGACACATGAAATTTGTGGGTTTTTAATGTTAATGGAGGGGGGGAGCTTGGTCTTTTTGGCTTTGGTACGGATCATTAGTTCCCCATTCATACTTATTTTATTCGTATTTCGTATCAAAATATTCAGAAAATATTTTTAATTTAAATAAAACGTTACGCGATTTATATTTTTAATTACAGAAAATTATATTTACATTAAATTTAAACCACATGAAATAATTTATAAAATCACAATACTAGCTTGGGGAGCAAGTGTGTTGAGGTCAGAGAAAAGTCTCTGGAAAAGAAAGACCATTTTACTGGGCAGGTGCATGTATTGTTTAGTAATAAAATAACTCTGTGATTTCAAAATCGCTTATGTATATCCGGGTAAAAATAAACATTCCTATTTGAGAAGCAAGCAAACGCCATTGTGAAGAGCAGTGGTTTCAAGACGCGATCACCGAGCCTCTAGAGCATTGTGGCATAATGCTCTAGTGGGGCAGTAGTCGCGCCCTGAAACCACAAAGCAAATGTCATACACATAGAGGGTTTTTTTATATACGCAGTTTAATTATTGCTATTTGTTATTGTTTATGATATAAATCATGATGTGCGATGAATAACTTTTGAAATTTAAAGTTGTTTATATTAATAAAAGAAAGTTATTTTGTCTCATTGAAAACGAATTTTAAAAGGCATCCGATTTGAAGTACTAAAACCTAAAACATGTATGATTCTGCAGTCATTTTGTGTTATTTAGAAGTCAAAGATGAGTAATCAGTTGATATTCACTCAAAAGTTTCAGAAGGTTGAGAATATAAAAATTCGAAAATTGGTGGTTTCAGGGCGCGACCACCGCGCGTCAAAGGGTTAAACAACAAAAAATTCATTTCAACAGCATTATCACAAAATATTTTTAAAAAAGTATATCTTTAGAATTTCCAATACACAGTATCACGCGCTGGAAATAAAAATTTTTTTTCGTACAATGTGCCATTGCTCCCTTTGAAATCGTTTAGTTTGTTAATCGAAAATTCGTTAAAGTTTTACAAAATATAAAATAGATAATGATACTTCCTAATTCAAAACTCGGGCTTCCAGGTGCCCATGTTCGGGTGGAGGATTACGTTATTCAAAATTGGATGGCTCTAGGTACCGTTGTTTTCTCACAATGCGAGAAAAACACATATATTCATGATAATTCTTCATTATTTAATTCTTTAAATATAATACAGGGCAATAATATTTGGTGACAAGAATTCAAAAACTGATTCGCCGTTTATAATGAAACACCACAAAATGCCACTTTGAGACTAATAGTCCTTCTTGGCTGCCGCACCTCTGGGCTAAAAATATTTTGAACAACATTTTTTTTTTTTTTATAAATGTCTAGAATAAATATTCGTTCTTTTATCTAGAGAACTGTGGATTACTGTATCCAGATGGCAATGCCATTGCTAGTTTACACAGCAGTTAGAAATTTGCTGAAAGTCCAACTGACAAAAAAAAATGTATTGGCTACCCATAAGTAATGAGGTTCGTTATGTGCAACACTTATTACATAAAAAAAGTGGCTTAAAATAAGGAATTGACGAAAAATTTTTTTAGCCCAGACGGTTGGCTGCCCAGAAGGGCTGTTAGTCTCAAAACGGCATTTTGTGGCGTTTCACTATAAACGGCGAATCACGTTTAAATTGTTGCCACTAAATATTATCACCCTGTATTATATTTATGAAGAATCTCCATGAACGCATGCATATTTCTCGCATTGTGAAAAAACGATGGTGCCTAGAGTCATCAAATTTTGAATAACGTAATCCTCCACCCGAACATGGGCAGCTGGGCGGCCAAACTTTTAATTTCAAATTTGCTTTATTATCTATTTCATATTTTGTAAAAATTTAACTAAGTTTTAATTAACAAACTCAACCATTTCAAAGCGAGCAATGGCAACACTGTACGGAAAAAAAAAAAAAAAAAAAAAAAATTATCTCTACCGTGCGAGACTGTCTTTGGAAATTAAAGATATGCTGTTTTTAAATATTTTGTGGTATTGCTGTTGAATTGAACTTTATGTTGTTTGAGTGCGAAGAACATGATATTTTTGTGCGTAAAATGAAATCTGAAAGCTTTCAGATTTTTTTTTTAAATTTTGTGGCAATTTTGTGCATTTTAGAAATTTTTTAAGAGCAAAAGAGTAAAATATATATATATTAAATAATGAAGGTCACAAAAAATAATGAGGCTTTTAAAGCAGACGATGAATACGAATCGGGAAGGGCAGAATTACTACATATATAGAATAAAATTTTAACTAGATGCCTCGTTTGGTTGAAAAATACATTTAACCCTTCTTGGAATGATTTGACAAGTTTTTTAATGATTTTAAAGAAAATATTTTGTCGTTCTTCTGGCATTACAAGTTTTATTATCTACTTTAGGAAAAAATAGAGCATTTTTGCTTTCTTCCTCACCATTTCTTGCCGAACGTGCTTTATAGATACAGATCTAAAAACTGAGGAGATCTGATGTGAGTATTTTAAAATAGTCACAGAATAGCCAAAATTCAATATATGTAATGTTGCGTGCTCTGCATCATTCATTGTTTTGGTAGAATAGGAAGCTGTTTAATAAACCGATATTTGTGCAAATGTCTAATTTACATTTAAATACATCAGGCGGCCTATAGTACTTTTAATGGACAAAACATAAACAAAAATACTCTACCAAACAACCATCATCTTCACTATTAGCATTCCTCATTCGCTTTTATCCAGGCTAGAAGCCTAGGCTAAATCTGAAGATTATTCAGTCAATTTTAAAGTAATTCTTTATGTGCTGTAAAGTGATTACGTTTTTTGAAGCAGGAGAAGCAAAAATGTTCAATGCCCTCACCGAGACTCGAACCCTGAACCTGTCGAATACACTTATGTCATGTTATTAATAAATTCTTTATGTTTCCTATTATCTTAGCACCGAGCGAAAGTTGCTGAACACTGGTAGTTCGGTCCGAGGTTCGAATCACGCGAACGGGCTGGCTGCATGAGCGTTTCCGTGGTTTTCCCAATGTGTAACGTGTACACGAACCAATTTCCCTTAGAAAGAGCCCTCCAAGAAGGCATCCCTCCCTTTAGGCAGATAGCTGTCGAGCGCCTTGCCGTAAATCAAACATTTTTAACTTAGATTTCTTTATTAATCTCGCTTTCCTTTTTGATTACGTTTACCACTTCCATAGCTATGTAAATGAAAGGCGAAGTAAAAGTTGTTAAAAAGGTAAAACGGACATTATTAATTGTGATCTTAACGCTTGGGTTAGCTGTCTTTCTCACTTCCGAAACTGTGATCTGTTGAGATTTTAAATTTAGCTATGCTTTAAATTTGGCTACTTTAGGATTTTAGGAAAAGGTAAAACGTTTGAAAAATTACCTCCAAGAATCGAACTGGGCTCTTCAGACAACCAGACTTTTATTCTAACCACTAAATTACAATGCACAGAAGGTAAACTTCTAATTTAAGAAATTAAGAAGAGCTTAAAAAACTGCGGTCGAAACTTAACAATCATCAAGATGTGTGTTTATCTGAGGTATGCTATTTAAGTCTGAAATGAGGATCATTTAGTATTAGGCCTAAATATTTAAGTTATTGTGTAAATATTTAGTAGCTTAACACCTAACTATAAAGCTTAAAAGTTTTGATATTGCATGCAGTTGCAGTGCCTGATTATAAATCGGGGTGATTTTTTGTTTATTTTTAGTTCGTAGGATTAAAATAGATTTACGTTTATATTTACAAACTTCTGTGTTCATTTATACTTTGTTC